TAGAAATTGGTAATGCCCATACTTTCCCAATGTTCATGGAATGCTTAACAAATTTGATCATGTGGTAGACCACAAGCAACAATAAGTTGCCCTAAATATAAGTTATTCAGGCTGCATTTTTAACCATGTAGAATCACTAGGAACAAATAATATATGAAATGATGGTTTTTTTGTCTCCTAAATTGGCAAAAAACAAACCAAAACAGAATGACCAGCCAGTATCAGTGAGGGTATTTTCAAAATCCCTCTGGTCACCTAACAGAATGGGACCAAGCCCTGGGCTGGGTGGAGCTGTCCTGTGTCTGTCTCACCTAAGATAAGATGGCACATGGCTTTTCTTGCTGGGTAACCTATGGCTGGCAATCAGGTGGTAACCAGGGAGCTAAGGATAATAAAGATTAGGTAGGCAGAGGGAAGCGGTGTAAGGAGTAAATCATTTCAGAAGAATTTTGAAGAAGGGAAAGAGTTTAAGGGAACAGTGGGGATAATTTCTAGGTAGGAAGAACAACTAATGTAAGGAACGGATTAGTGGTGAGAGCCAAGGTAAGTGAAACAGAGAAGTGTTTTCATTCCCACAAACCTGGATCTGGGATTCCGTTTGAGCTTATCCTAACCACTGGAATCACTATCACACATAAACTTTTTCAATGAATGTAAATTAATTTCATTTTGACTTGATGGTTTTAAAGAGTTTTGTAATACTTCTTCTGGAGAAGCTCTCTTTCATTTTAAGTAAAACACTGTTCCAGGCATAATTTGTTTGGGTTCTGTTTCCTCCCCTGTATTCCAAGGTCTTTTTGCTTCTTTCCTATCTCTCTGATTTCCCCAGAGAACTCTGCACAAAATGGGCACCTGATAAATGTGGCCAACTGTACATTTTTCCTCAAATGAGTCTAACAAGACATATCATTCAATGATGTTTTCTTTGAAAAGTATGAGGTGCTACTGAACAAAAGTGCAGCATTCATCTGTCACCATTACCGTAAGAAAAAATACCTATCAGATATATGTAAGGGTTTTTCCTTAAGAGCCTGGGAGAACCTCACCTCAAAGAGAACCATTGCTTTTGGCTGGGGCTTCACTTTTCTAGTCATTAACATCAGAATGATGTCCCTCAAAATCCTGGTTTTCTTGGGGGGTGGCCAAAAGGGTATGAAAATATCCTAATAATCCACACGGTTTTTGCTTGCTTCTGGACTGTTTCCTGCTCACCCGCTTCGTGCAGTGCGGATACACACCCTCTCCCTTGGAGGGAGCTATGGGGGAGCTCCAACTCCCCAGCTCTTCAGAGGGAAAACACACAGCTCTCAGAAATGCACTTGCTGACTGAAACCAGTCCCAGTTCTATTTGGCAGAACATGGACACCACAGACTTTTAACCCAGGTGGAAAACCCAAGGACAAATGTGAGCCCGTCAGCCAGGCGCCTGCTCTTCCCAGGCTCTTTGCTTGATTTCATTGCTGGTCTTGCAGATACACTGCGTGGGACTCTCCTCCCCCTTCACTTCCCCGGGTGCCTCTTCTGGCAGTATATCTCTTGTGACCTCTGCCCATCTCCCGACTATCTTCCCCTCTCTCAGAACAGTCGCTGATGTCAAGGGGCTGACCCTCCTTCTCTGTGAGCCTGTCCCCTGGTCGTAGCTGACTGATGGGCATGGACACCTGACCCAAACTGGCCAGAGTTTCCCTCCTGAGAATGTGAAGAGTGACATGTGAGGACAGACAGGTACTAAAAATTGGAGCTGAGTCACAGTGTGGCAGGTAGAATTTCACATTCCCTACCTCCAACCTGTAATATGATGGGATGACCAGCTACCACTCCCACAATTGTTAGTT